CCACTTCCTCCATGGACAGATTCTGCCCTACTGACCAAAAGAGTCATTAGATCGCATCGCATCAATCAGTTTACTCACTGGAAACTTCGATGACGGCGTGGCGGAAGCCTGGTTACCCACACGTCGAACTCCAAGAATGATCCATTGTGTTTTCAGTAGTCCCTGGTTCCCTTCCCAGGCTATTCGTCTGACTTTCTGGGCGGGCACAGTTGCAGCGACCACGAACGGCTGGTCGTGTACTATGACGAACTTTAAGGCACTGGCCCCCCGTGTCCTCCACTCCCTACTACATTTCCCCAATTTGGCCTCCCTTGGCATCGTCCCTTAATACTCCAAGACGACACATGCTGCCCCTGTTCCTTCCTCTTTCTCGTCTCCCTTGCTGCTGTAGTCGGAGACCGGAGCCAAAGGCAAAGCTCTGCTCGACCGGCGTGGGATCTGGCTCTTACTAGGAAGCTACTGACTTCCGCTTGCGCCTCCATTCAGAGTCTGGATGTGAGCTGCGCCTTTGTCACCGACAGCCCACCTCCTCGTGTGCGAAGCTTTTACTACTCTACAAATCGAATCGAACCACACTACACAAAGCAAGAATTACGCGATCTCTCTCACCAACAACAATTAAGTTATTGGGGGAGAAAGCATTTCCAGCCATGGAACTAATTTCTCTGAATGAACTTCTCTGTAGCAATCAAAGGCTTTAATTTTACTCTGTGATTTTGAAAAAAGCAGAGTCCATTACCCTCACCACACCACTACCACTTCCTCCATGGGACAGATTCTGGCCCTCTGCCAAAGAGTCATTAGATCTGCATCATCAAATCAGTTACTACCTGGAAACTTCGAATGAGGGTGGGGAACTGGTTACCCACACGAGAATCAAGAAATGATCCATTTTGTTTTCCAAGTAGCTCTCCTGGTTCTTCACTATTCTCTGACTTTTTTTCACCAAGTTGCAGCTGACAGGAAGCTGGTGTTACTGAGAACTTTAAGGCACTGGCCCGTTCCTCCACTCCTATACATTCCCCATTTGGGCCTCTTGGCATCTCCTTAATATCAAGAGACACAGCTGCCCCCTGTTCCTTCTCTTCTGTCTCCTTGCTGCTTATGGAGAGGGAGCCAAAGGCAAAGCTTTGTGGCGACTTCGACCGGGTGGGAATCTGGCTCTTACTAGGAACTACTGATTGCTTGGGGCCCTCCCATTCAGAGTCTGGATTAGTAGATGGCCCCTTTGTCACGACAGCCACCTCCTCTGTGCGAATGCCATTTATACTCTACAAATGAATGAACACATACAAAAGCAAGAAGATTAGGAATAAGTGGGGAAATATAATGAACTCTGAGAATCAGTATGATTTTTTTAAGAAACTTCAAACATATTAATACTAATATAAACCAAGAATCTTAACTGCTAAGGTAGTTAAAGGAAGAACTGCTCTTCACTACACATAGTAGAAGCTAAAGCAATTCCAATCTCATTTTGGTCATATTTCCATAACATTGTTAATCTGAGAAATAATTTCAATGCACGTTACACAGTAATCAGCACTTTGTAATCCTATGGTCTTCCTTGTAGATTATATCCTATTCCTACTTAAAGGAGTTACTTTGCCATTTCTAAATACCTAATTTATTACTATGTACAGGATACAAGGCAATTTATGAGTCAATCAAAACATATTCTTGAGGAGCCTGATAAGGTTGAAAAATGTTTACTGTCTCCAAGCCATCTGTATCTTTACACTAGGCCCTCAGAGAGAAGCTAAAATCCAGACTAGTTGCCAGGGAGATAGAAATTGAGTACATCCAGCATAAACTTACTCCAATTATTGTCATGGCATCAAACATATCAAAAATAGTGAAATGTTTCTTTGTAAACAGAATAAAAATGACCCAGCAGCTGAGCTATATTTCTTCACAGATGCATGACACACCATCTCCAGCCTCCAAAGAAATAAATCCTGGAAACACAGAGAGTTCCCTCCTGGGCTAAATGCCTCACAATACAGGAAAAATACTTCTACAACAAGTACAGTCGGCACTCCATAGTTGTAGATTCCTCATTGTGGATTCAACCAACTATGGATCAAAAATATTCAGGCTGGGCACAGTGGCTCATACCTATAATCCTAGCACTTTGGGAAGCAGAGGTTGCAAGATCACTTGAGGCCAGAAGTTTGGGACCAGTCTAGACAATATAGCAAGACCCTGTCTCTACAAAAAATAAAAAAATTAGCTGGATATGGTGGCATACGCCTGTAGTCCCAGCTATTTGGGAGGCTGAGGCAGGAAGATCTCTTGAGCTCAGAAGTTTGAGGCTACAGTAAGTTGTGATCTTGCCACTGCACTCCAGCCTGGGTGACAGAGTGAGACCCTCTAAATAAATAAATAAATAATCTGTACTGAATATGTACAGACCTTTTTCTTATCATTATTCTCCAAATAATATAACAACTATTTGTATAGCATTTACATTACATTAGGCATTATAAGTAATCTATAGATGATTTAAAGTATATGGGAGGATATACATAGGTTATATGCAAATAATATGCCATTTAATATCAGGGGCTTGAGCACTCATAGATTTTGGTATCCAGAGGAGGTCCTGGAAATCAATCCTCTACAGATACCTAAGGATGACTATACAGCAAAGAGAATATCGATGAGAAGATACCATTACAGTAGATGGACCTACTCCTGAAGTTAAAAGAAAGTTGCTCTAGGTGGAAAAAAAGGAAGAAGGAATTCACACTAGTAGGAAAGGAATAAGAGTCATATGAAAAATCAATAACCTAACAGAAACCAATGTCATGGCAAGTAACATTTGCACGTGCTCACCAGAAAGCTGTAAATAAGCCATTTAGGCCTAAAATCTTGGTCAGATCATTTGGCCATATTATTAATACATACCACATAGAAACCTAATAACAGAAAGGGACTTTTAAAATAAAGTAATCCTGGAGTAAATGACACAGCTTGGACCAGCTTACACATTTTAGCACTGAAGTCATGTTATATGTATAAGAAAATCATTGCTGCTCCTTAACTTGTAAACCATCCTCCACTGTGATGTATATCAACCAGCGCTCTATTAAGGAAAGGAAAGATACCACATTCAGGAACTTCAGGCCGGCTTTATTCACAAGCCATCTTAAAACATGCAACTCAAGAGCATCTCAAACTGGCACCAGCTGACTTCAGATTAGGCAGATCCTTCATTGGCTGATTATGAATATGACTTAGGACATGAGAGATGAAATTGAGAGATCAACAACAAAGCTGTCTCTAGCTGCCAATATATCTGAGATACATGAAATATTCTTTCCAAGAGTATATATGAATTTCCTGGTATTTCAAATGACAATACTGGTTTGACTCATAGGGTTCTAAGTATCAAATACAATAACATACTGTATGTGAAAAAATTTTGTAAATTATTTTTTTAAAATAAATTTCACATTTGATTAATTGATTGAGACAGGCCCTCACTCTGTTGCCCAGGTTAGAGTTCAGTGGCATCATCGTAGCTCACAGCAACCTCAAACTCCTGGGCTCAAGCAATCCTCCTGCCTCAGCTTCCCAAGTAGCTGGGACTACAGGTCCATGCCACCACACCTGGCTAATTTTTAAGAAAATTTTTTGTAGAGATAGGGTCTTACTATGTTGCTCAGGCTGGTCCCAAACTCCTGGCCTCCCAAAGCACTGGATTACAGGTGTGAGCCATCATGACTGGCCACACTTCATAAATTCTAAATTCTACCATACCAATTTATTTATCTTACTGCTTGATTCAGACGAGCCACTACAGAGTTGTCCCAAAATAGATCAACTGTTAATAAACAAACAGGCTTTCTCAAATTGCTACATGCTAACCCTAGCATTGTGAATAGCATATCCAAATCTATTCATATGGAGAGGAACTTCAAGGCTTCTTCAAATAATTCTCTTATAACTGAGAAGGATAACTAATAATCAGGAAAATATCTAAGGTAATCAAGTAAGGGCCAATTTTGTATCAGTCAGCTCAAGTGATAAGTGATCATCTGTCATCAAGAAGCTGTTTCCGGCTGGGCGTGGTGGCTCACGCCTGTAATCCTAGCACTCTGGGAGGCCGAGGCAGGCGGATTGCTCGAGGTTGAGACTTTTGTCTCAAAAAAAAAAAAAAAAAAAAAAAGAAAGCTGTTTCCGAATTAAACATTGCCAACACCACCTGACCCAAAGTTGCCCACTGACGAGTAAAATTGGATACATCAACCTTTTTTTTTTTTCAAACACGTATAGAAGTGACCAAGGATAAAAGCTGTAGCCACAGTAATTTCAACCCAACAAATATTTACTGAGCAGCTAATATGTATTAGTTATTAGAAATAAAAGGAAAACTGTTAATAGTTGGGTTGGATTACCATTTATAGCTCTCACATATGGTCAAATCATATGTGATTTGTTGGCTCTAGTTGGCTCTGTTGCCCAGCTCTCTTGGACAACATAGACAACTATTTGATGAACATCCTCCCAGGCATGTAGAATGGAACATGCCCCAAACTAAACTTATCTCTGCTGCTGCCTGGGCCTCCCACCCACTTCCTCCTGGTTGTTTCTATGTATTGATAGACGGCACCACTCAGGTTCATCCAGTCTTCCAGGCCCACTAACCCTAAGAGTCATCTTCTTTTTTTTTTTTTTTTTTTTTTGAGACAAGAGTCTCACTTTGTTCTCTGTTCCCAGGCTAGAGTGAGTGCCTGGCATCAGCCTAGCTCACAGCAACCTAAACTCCTGGGTCAAGGCGATCCTTCTGCCTCAGCTCTGAGTACTGGGACTACAGGCATGCGCAACCATGCCGGCTAATTTTTTCGTATATAATAGTTGGCAACTTAATTTCTTTCTATTTATAGTAGAGACCA